AATTAAATAGACAATTGTGCTAGAAGAGCTCGCTAAGAGTATTATTAAGATAGTAACTTCATTTTCTGGAATTCTACCTAATATTCCATTATTTCTGAAAAGTACTTTTTTTCCAAGTATTCACCAATCTTCTTATCAGCTATTTATCCTTAACCTGTTTTAAGATTGATGAGGATAACAAGCTTCTGCTAGATTTACTAAGTAAAACCACCGCTGAACTAAAGGCCAGGGAGGGAACAGGCAGCCCATGCGTTTCTTTGAGTTGTGTTCCATCAAGTACAGTTTTCATAGCTATAAATGGGCCTTTCGTTTACTTCTGGATCATTCTTAGCAATGAAAATGTCCAGCTGAGAAAGGTACATGTCAATAATTACAGATATCAGGATGAATTGGAATTTTTCATCGGGCAGATGAACAGAGATGCCCTTAAGGAGATTGGTACTCGTAGTGATGCTTTAACCGGCGCGAATCCGCAAACTGATTCTCTGAAAGAGGAGGAAGTGGCGAACGATATGATTCGAGTTGATGTTAAGTCTTCACAATCAACGGCTCTGCAGAAGCTTTATGATATCATAATTACTCCCATCGCTGATCTGATCGTAGGCAACGAGCTTACATTTGTTCCTGAGGGGCCATTTTGGCTTGTACCTTATGCAGCTTTAGAGGACTCGAAGTCAACATATCTAAGTGACTCTTTCACAATTCGCCTGCTTCCTTCCCTGGCGACCTTACGATTAATTAATGATTGTCCAGATGGGTTCCACATGAAGAGTGGTGCTTTGCTTGTCGGCGACCCATGTTTTAAACATATCCTTCATCAGGGAAAACCGTTGATACAACTGCCAGGAGCAAAGAAAGAAGTTGCGATGATCGGACGAATCCTCAACACTTCCCCACTAATAAGAGAAATGGCTTCAAAAGATGAAGTTTTAAAACGACTGTCATCGGTGGCTTTAGTGCACATTGCATCGCATGGTAAAATCGAAACTGGAGAAATCATATTGGCTCCAAACACCGCCAGAGAAAACCCTCAGCCTCAAGAGATCGACTATTTAGTGACGATGAAAGATGTCCTAGAAGCTGGGCTGCGGGCGCGACTAGTTGTTCTAAGTTGTTGTCACACTGCCCGTGGGGAGGTCATGGCCGAGGGTGTGGTTGGCATCGCGCGAGCATTTCTGGGTGCCGGTGCAAGATCAGTTGTGGTAACGTTGTGGGCGATTGAGGACGAGGCAACCTTGGAGTTCATGAATTTCTTCTACTACGCACTGGTTAAAGGCAAGAGCGCAAGTGAAGCTCTCAATGAAGCCATGAAGTGTATGAGAGAATCTGGAAATTTCAAGGAGGTGAAGCAGTGGGCGCCATTCGTACTCATTGGTGATGACGTTAGACTGGAAATGGAGAAAATTTAGATGCTGAACCATGTAATTACTCCATTTATAACTTTGATTCAGTACTAAGCGACTTTAGATGAAAAAGATAGCATTAGATGTGAGCATAGCTGCATTATTTTGGCATGCACTTTTTTTCCTACAGTTTCCTTGTTGTACGAGCAAATTGAGATGCCATGCAAATAACTCGACGCATTTACTACGATAACATTTTTCGTAGAAAAGAAGAAAGGTTAAAAAGAACTTTCGTTCGAATTTATCCTGTTGTGCAGTGTCTCGTTTTATTTCGTATAGCCGAATTAAGGAAACAAATTTGTGGCAATTCAACAAGCTCCCCTAAGTTTGCTCTTTTAATTTAATACATTTTTTAAAATTATTTTTCAGTTAAGGAAGCGAGCCTTGAAGAAAGAAAGCTGATGCAGTTAAAACTTGCCTACAGACGTTGATGTTTGTAACAAAAACCCACTGAGCTACCGATGAAATGTCTGTGAGAGTCTTCTTTTTAAAACAGGGAGAACCAAAAGACGGTTAAACTCAAAAATTCAACAAGAGCCCTTGTGGATTTCTATTGTCTCAAAAAATTGAGTTTTCTTTCTTTAGAAATGCTCTTGGATTTTGAACATATCAAAGAGAAAGAACTTTGAAGTGTCTTGATCGTTCATGTCTGGTTCAAACTAGTTTATAATGTTATTTTTTAATAAGTGATGTCTTGAAATGATAATGACTGGCTAGGTAGCTGTAATCCGAATATGAATGAAGTCGTTACCTAAGAATAAGTTTTTAGGCGTTGCACTTCCATCTAAGTTGAAAAGGTTTCTTTATTTTTTTTAATTTTTGTCAATCCATTTTTGCCGTATAGCTGAGTGAAAGTTATTTGCTTGTTCAGAGAGTTTCCAGAGAACTTGAAGAATAATCAGTTGTCCCGCAATTGTTCGATAATCTTAGCTCCAATCGAGTGGAAATTACGCGACTAACTTTTTGAGGAATATTTACCTAATTATTTGTTATCAAACTTATTTTCTGCATCTTATTAATTCGGTTTGTCAGACTTTGAACGACTAAGTTTAATTTTTATGGCCAAGGTTTAAACTTGTTTTTACCAGTATTTAGAATGATTTGTCTTTTGCGTTTGATTGCGATAAGTTGTACTTTTGTAAATGCATCAGATACATTTTAAGAATGCTGTGAAAAACCAGTTGTTCAACTGGAAAACGAAAGGCTTAACTGAATAATTAAATTTTTTCTTTTTCTTTTGAAAACTGCATGGCAGTTTCAAAATTACGTCTCATACGAAAGGTCGAGGGATAAAGTTTAGAAACTTTAAGTTGGAGCCAGATGACATTAAATTCAGTCTCTCCAATTGTTTTATTGACCTATTTTTTACTTTATTTGTAATTGTTTTTTGGCTTAAATGCTTTTTTTTAAGTTACAGAATAGTGGATTTTGGAATTCATTGACGGGGGTGTGCTGCATTGTGAGGGAAGAGAGATATCTGCCGAACAAAAAGCAACAACCACAGGAAAAACAACAGCAACGACAAAAACATTGTTTGGTATGCTAGCCGCTACAATCTCCCTTGGGGAGAAAAATCGTTGATAAACTGCTTATTATGGATCCCTGAATCTTATGGGTTTTCGTATTGAAGAACACCTTGAAGTTTGCAACGCTATGTCTCGTAATATCCGTAATTCTGGAAAAAAAAAGTCGTTAACCTCCAAATGGCCAAATTTAGGCGTCAGCCGTCAGAACAGCCAGTAATAATGAGTCTCACTTGTGATTTTGTTTTTTTCAATGATATTGAATGGACCACAGCAATGCTATAAACATGTGTTTTTAAAAGGAACTTTCCCGGTCGGTGACCTTCTTTCTGATAATGGAACTAACTGGTGTTATCTGTTTAATACAAATTTACTTCCCATAGAAAAATTGCAGTTAAGGAGCACTGTCCATACAATCCCTGTTGCCATGACGGAGACGAATTGTCAAACAAAGTGCAGAGCACGTTTCTCCACATATTGAAGATTCTAATATTTTCAAACTGGAAACGTAGTAAACGTTGAGGTGGTTTTATTGAAGTTCTCATCCAAAATTACGTTATAAGGCATTTAAGAATAGCAAAACGCAAGCACCCCTAACTGCTCAAAAAAACACATTCTCCTCTTTTGACAGCCACTGTCCAAACGAAGGTAGAGGAGAATTTCAATAAATAGTATTTAATAATATGCAGTTATTGGATGAGGTTGAGCATGATATCGAGGTCTGAGTTATTAGATCAACACAACTGACACAGACACGAGGTTTTGATAATTCACTATATCCTGCGAAAACCGAATTCAATAACTGTTTTATTATACATTTGACAAAAACATTTGCAAAAGAAGACACATCTGATTTGTATACGCATCGAGTGCCGTTTGTCATATATGACAAACGGCATGTTGTAAATGAAAAATCTTTTATTTCCCCGTTTTAAATCAACACACTTTACTAGAAGTACTTTGTGCCCTTCGGCGAATTCTGAGTATTTGATAATGTCAGTTCCTTTTACCTTGAAATGCTTGTATGTATATATGTATAGTCATGAATATCATGTGTAAGAATGAGATGATTTTAAGGCTCAACATAACAGACTCACCGTTATGTTGCTTTTGCAGACAGGAGGGGGAAATCTTAGAACATTTGTCTTCCTACTGTAATGTGGAAAAATTTTTTAGAAGACCTTGCATTTGTGGCTTGTTGACTGTGATGTAAAAAAATTCATCCTTTGACGATAGTGGAGAATGTCTTCCTACTTCTCGAGTTGATATTGATAGCTAAGCATTATCCAGTAGATAAGACTTTGTTTTTCTCAGAGCCACCGGCGATGTTTTCCTTAGTAAAATTGTAAAATATTCTCAACGAATCGAAAGCTTTACAATGCAAATCATTTACCAAGAAGATGACTTCAGCATAATATATCGAGATTTTCTCGGAAATTAAAGATGCCTCGTTTGCCATTTAAGATAACACAGAAGTAGCTAGAAGTGTCAAAGTAAACGAGTTATGGCCAATTTGTAAACTTAGAGGACAAAAAATCGGAAATCTGAGAAATTATTTTGCGCATTACTTAAGTTAAATTAAATTAACCACTTTCCTTTGACTTTGTTGTTCTGATGGCAAAGCTGGCATGGTCAAGGTTGACTTGTTTTGCAGAAGGGTGATTAATGATTAATATGCACCTGTTTCGGAGAAAAATTATTTTAGGCGCAAAATTTTTGATTTGTTTTCTTTAAGCTCTCTGACTGGTCACTTTCTTGAAAGTAAGGTGGATGGACCACTTCTCATATGAAGTAACTATGTTTTAACACCGGTTGGAGGGTGATGGGGTGGGGAATTGGGAATGACGGGTGGGGCAGTGGGAAGTTGACGGGGTGGGACGCCGAAAAAGGGACCAGGACAGCTAACCTAGCCAGCCATTTAGGAATAATTAGGCCGGAATTTTTATTTCCCCGAAAAGGACCCAAAAAAACATTCGGAATATTGCAGCAAAATCGAATTTCCCGGGAAAACACCAAAGAAACTGGACACAACTCTTTCTTTCAAACTTCTTTCTTTCCCGGATATACATTTCTACAACAGTAATGGCGGAAAGTGTACTTAGTAACTATGGAGTCTGAATAGTAAATTTCGGCTGAGGTTATCATTGTTTCAGAGGGGGTCCTTCGATTTTTGTCTCAAGACAGCTAGAGATGATCAAAGAATGCCATCTGGGAAGGTAATATTTTTTATGGTTTCTTCACAGTTTGCCTGTATTTGTTGCTACGATTGATACAGAGTTTTAATTTATTTTTGCAGTTGTCATTTTTTGCTTAACTAGCCGGATACGACTTTTCCTTGATAAAACCTGAAGATATGGTCTGTCGCCATGATTCTTTCCCCAGCCATAAACTGTTTCCGTAAAAGACCGTGAACTAAACTCTTATCTCCGTTTTCAAGTCTAAGCGTATTCTCGGGCTCTACCGATCTTATTTTCAAAAATATTATCCAAGCTCTTCTTGCATATTTTTGGGTTCTATCAGCTGAACAGCTTTTTGGTAACGAATTAGATTCAGTTTTGCTGTTTTATTACAGATGCTTCAGGCTTTTCCATCTAATAAAAAATGATTTTGTGAACGACTAATGTTCAAATTAATTATACAGTTTATTCATTTGATCTGTTATTAATTATCTTTAAAATTCGACGAGATAGGTATAAGCTCTAATTTCGATATATTTGGGGACTGAAAGTTTCGAAACATGGTATTGTCTGTAGGTCTGTGAAAGTTTACATCTCTTATCTGCAATGACTTTAAAATATACTTTTACTTTGTGGAGAGAAGGAAGTAGTAAATATTCGTTATTGACCAAGTGCGAGGTCAAGATGACTGGATATTTGCCGAGTTCTTTTCTTTTATTGCATTTTTATTGACAAGGAGGAAGGTGAGGCTCATAAAAACACAAAATAAAGAATGAGGCTAATATCCAGCCTTCTTGACCAAACAGGCTTGGTCAAGTCAATAAAGGATTTGTTATATAGCACAAAACTTTTTTCGATATGATAAGAATCAAGAATGACTTGTTTATTTTGAGAGCTGGCAAAGAAACTGAATTGTGTTTGTAGTGCTGTTTGATGTTTTCTCTGTTTTCTTTGTTCTTCACTTTTTGTGACTCCATTGCTATCATTGTCCAAAAATGATGAACTTGTCATTCCACTCTGCGCAATCTTTCTCTTGTGTGGGATCAAGGCAGGCCACCTTGGTCAGGCAAGATGGGCCTATATTGCCCACTCAGGTAGCCAATAAGAACACAGGATTCACTTCATCTTGCCTGCAGTTGCTGCAAGCTGTATAATAATTTGTATCATTTTACAACCAAGTATGCTAGTGCAATATGAAGGGAATCCTTTTATTCTAATTAAACCTGAGCGAGCAGGATGGCCCCATCTTGCCTGCTCGGGGTTGCCTACTTTGATCACTCGCAAGAAAACAAATGTGTGGAGCAGACTTACAAAGTTCATAACTTTTATGCAATGTTGGCAATGAAGTTGCAAAAAGCAGCAGAAGATAGTCCAAACAAAGAAGATATAAATGACCCTCATGGGTTTATTGTGCTACAAACTCAGTTGGATGTCTTTTGTGGCTCTTGAAATAAACAAGTTATTCTTGATTCTTATTATATTGACAAATTTTTGCTATATATCAAATCCTTTATTGACGATGCTTGTTCAGTCAAGATTGCTGGATATAAGCCTCGTTCTCTTTTTTGTTGTTGAGGTTTTATAGGCCTTGACTTTGTTTTGGTCCATAAAAAATGTAAAAAAAAGAAAACAACTCGACCAATATACCGCCATCTTGACCTCAGGCTTGGTCAATAACACATACAGTAAAAACCTGCATACAAGAACACCCATTTTTGGGGTTCAGGCTGAGTGGGTTCTTATATTTTGGGTATTTTAGGTGAAATCAGCCTGAAAGTGTTCTCAAGTGTTTAATTTTTTACTTAATTCTAAAAAAATGTAAGGGATTTACTAACTATGATAAAATACATAACTTTAAGAGGAAATTAATTCCAAATACAGTTGTTGTACATTTGCTATACACAGCAATTGAAATTACTAGCATTTATACAGAGATCTTAGTGCAATACCACAGCAAAGCTACAGACACTGTTTGTTCTATTAAACTGAAAAGGGAAGAGTTTTTATATATAAGAACAATTTTCAATTTTCAGGCTGAATGTGTTCTTATGCTCTTTTTTTACCAAATTTCAGCCTGGGTGTTCTTAATCCACATGTTCTTGTATGCAGGTTTTTACTGTATACATGAACCTTGCAACACTGGTGTGACCTTTTCTATGTAATCTTCAGCAACATTAACTAACAAATGAGGTGAAGTTGTCCTGCTGCAATAACAATATTAGCAGACATTGGACTTTGTACAAATTAGTCCAAATCCAATTGCAAAATTCAAGTTTTACTTGGTAGGATCGAAGCAAGGAGGATACATGGAAAGAATCTGATTTAAAGAAAGCCTTGAAGGTCAGGAATGTATCATGGTGGTTTTAATAATTGGACCTCATGTCACATTATTTAAAATGTCACAGGGAATCAATGACTAAATCTTTTTGAAATTCCAAGTGTGACCACCCTTGAAGTTTGTATTTTATATCTGGTATTCAGTCTTTATAAGTATTAGTATGTGTAATCAAATGGGGACGAGTGATATTAGGAAATAATTTCAGGCGCGTTTTGTAAAAATTCTGATAATTTCCCTGGCCTTTAGGTGAGGGAAATTATCAGAATTTTGACAAAATGTAAGTGAAATTATTTACTAATTTCCCGAGAAAACCATTTGATTACCTTTTAATATCTTGGGTGACAAATTACCTTCACAACCATAATTGGTTTCACTGGTTTATTCTATCGAAAACCGAGAACATGAAGAAGAATATAGTTTTCATTTCATTTCATTTTCGTTGAAAGCATACATTATTGTTAAAGTTCGTAATTTTCTGAGTTTCTTCACAAAAAATACCTTTTGAATTCTTTGTGCCTCTTAATAATTTTCAGCCGCTTCTTTTAATTTCATAACTTCTTCAAGGGTTGATCACCGTCTTAAATCTCGACGCCATCTTGGCTCTGATCGAGATACAAGAGATGTTACCATGGCAATTTTGTAATTTCACATGTGAAATTAAAAATTAACGCTGAAATTTCGCGCCAAAATTAAGGAGTAATTTGTCACCTATGATATTACAATACTAAGACAGGGGGATAGTGATAAAGGCGCATTTTTGATTGGCTACTTAAACTCTGAATATATCCGTTACAACTCACCTCTGAGAAACTCCTACCAGAAAACGTTGTAATTGCTGTAGGAAGGAAGTAGTTAAAATCATCTTTTTGTGCTATAATATCTCATTGTTTTAGTATATACTAAAACAACTATCCACCTCAGTGTTGGTCGCTGGTAGTGGTGGATATTAGCAAAGTTTTGGGTAAAGGCTTGGTAAATGTTCACTACCAGCCACCAGCACTGATATGAATAATTGTGAAATATATTAACAATAGCATCCATTTGGCAAAAAAATGTGCTCAAATATTTGTCTGGAAACATTATTTGTTCTCAGATGTGAACAGTTTTTTGAGAGAGAAGCTCGAGGAAAAGTGAAAGTTTCAAGGAACAGATAATGTCCGAGGAAAAATATCCAAGCACATCTTTGTGCCAAATGGAGGCTATTCTGTTCATTATCCTTTAAATACTTTTCATTGTGCTTAAATTCTTTCATGTGAAGCTCCTATGCTCAATGTCAATCTCCCTTAGTTTTGATTTCAAAGACCAGTTACCAGTGAAAATGAAACAGGTGACAACAGTCAGTTGTGTTCTAAAAAATATCATTGTCACTATAAACAGAATGAGATAGATGGTAAATTTTTAGGCTTGGTGAAGAAACAGCAAAAGATGTTTTGATGCCATCAACATTACTGATCCTAGCAGTGTGCAGGACTCGTGCAATATATGAACTTTATAATAGCTTGCTTACCATAGAGTCTTTGGGGCTCGGTAGAAGAGCATTGGAGCAGGGAATCTAACAGTATGAGGCTTGATTCCTCATGGGGACCTAGAATTTTTCCTTTGTCCCATGCTCATGACAAGGTGAAAAAACAGCTCTCACCATTCTAATTTTTTAACAGTTCCTTAAGCCTTATTTTTTGATAAAATTATTTCATTTTTTAGGATGACAGAGGAAAGTCCAAAGATGAAAGCAGAAAATCCAAAGAACAGTCCACAAGTCGTAGGTCTGAGGACAAAAGAGAACGAAAGGTAGATGGAATTTTTGTCGATGAAAATGGAATTTAGGTTAAATTGATTTCAAATTATGATTATTGAACAATTTTGATTGTTTATTTGGAAAAAAGGAAAATACAAATTAACCTCTATTTGATCTTATTGAAACAAGTTATAAATGAAGCCTGAAAAAATTTGACAAGAATTGAATCTTTCACTTTGTAATCCCCACACAGAGGTCTAACTTAGCTGTTTACCCATGTACATTGGTCTCAATATTTAGTTGGCAACTTTTAAAATAGGTTAATTTTAATGTCATATTGTCTCAACAGATTTTATTGTGTGATAAGTGAATATTGAAGTATTTCTTTGATAATAAATACTGTAATAATGATACCTGGTCTTATTATAACACAGTTTTGTATATTGTATGTTGACAGTGAAACTACTTTGCTTCTTTGATAGGATAAGGATGATGATAGGAAGCGAAGAGGTCATGATGAACTAGCCAATGGGGATCACAGGAAAACAGACAGGGACAGGGATAGGGATAGAGATAAAGATAAAGATAGAGGGAGAGACAAAGAGCGAGAAAAAGAGAGAGATCGTGACAGAGAGAAAGATCGTGATAGAGACAAAGAACGAGATAGAGGCAAAGAACGAGACAGAGGCAAAGAGCGAGAAAGAGACAGAGACAAAGACAGAGAAAAAGACAGGGGTCGGGAGAGGGACAGGGATCGGGAAAAAGACAGAGAGCACACAAAAGATAAGGATCGGGAAAGAGAAGGGGATCGAGACAGGAGAAAAAGAGATGAGGGTAGAGATCATGAGAGATCAAGGGACAAAGGAGATGATCATGACAAAGATAAAGACAGGTTGAAAGGTGGAGAAAGACGAACTGAAGAAAGAGGTAGACATCCAGAAAGGTCAAAAGATGGGAGATCTAAAGAACATGACAGAGGTAAGGAAAGGCGAAAAGAAAAGGAAAGAAGAGAGAGAGATACAGTAGTCGAGACGACAATGAGGATGATGAAAGATGATGAGAGGAAGCATGAGGGCAGGGAACGACATGGTGAACGTGACAGAAGTCGGGAAAGGAGGAAAGAGAAAAGTAATGAGGACAAAGACCGGGATCGAAGAAAAGAAAAGGAAAAGGAAAGGAGGGGTGAAATGGAAAGAAGCAGAGATGGGGATGGAAGGAGAGAGGGGAGGAAAGATGATAAAGATAGGGACAGAGACAGGGAACGACGAAAAGAGAAAGAAAAAGACAGGTTGGATAAAGAAAATAGAGATTCTGATAAGGATGAAAGGAAGAGAAGTGATAGACGGGAAAAGGAAAGCAGAGATCTTGATAGAAGAAAAGAGCGGTCAAAGAATGAGGTCAGTGAATGGGTGTAGTCTCTCAAATCCCTGAGATTTGTGCTTTATGGTTACCTTCCTTTGTTTGTTTGTTGGGTAGTGAGCAAATTGATGTCGTTTTGCTCTTAAACAGCAAATTAGTAACATTCAATCTTTCTAAAATGCTCATGTACTCTTTCATTTTGTTAGGACTCTAGCAGTAGAGAAAAAGAGGACAAAATTAAGAGAAGAGAGAAAGAAATGATTGAAGCATTAAAACAGGAAGAGGTATTTTATTAGAGTTTCCTAATATTTTCTCACCAATTTAAGAAATAATCCAAAGACCTTTGACAATTGTTATCATTCATTGACCAATGCTCTGTAATAGAGAGAAGTGGGAGTAAGAGGAGAAGGATTTGGGACCTGAGATGGGTAATAAAAGCAAGAGATTTTTTACCTCCTGTCTTCTTCTCCCTCATCACTCATCCCCGTCCCCTTCCCCCACCAATGAGCTACTAGCTTTTAATGTTTGTCCTTTGTCAGCAGGAATTAAAGAGGAGTCCTCCAAAGTTTAGATCAGATACAGTGGAAGAAGCAGTGAGTCAGCAACTGTAGAGTTTATTTCTATTAACTCAATATTCCTTTTATAACTCATTGTTTTTGAGAACAACAAAGAAAAACCTGCTTTACATTTTCATTTTCAAATTCTGTTTAAACCAACTTCTCCATCAAAGGTCATGGAAAACATGCAAAAGGTCTTTGAAAGATTATAGTATGCCATGGGAATTTATGAAATGCAAAGAATATGACCCTTGTATTTGTGCCATCAGCTGGGAATATTATTCATTGCTTTTATGCTCAGTTCATGGCTGTAGCAAATCTGCTTTTTTATTTTTTGCATTTACATGCAATGAGTTCCTTTAGGTTTGCTTTTGTGTAGTATTCTTGTTGGCATAGATAAGGCACTTAATAACCTGTTAAACTTTTCTATTTGTAAAGATCTTGTAATCAAGTTTGAAACGTGAATAGCTTACTGATGTTGAATAAGTTTAAATGTGTGGATAGTGATATTATTGTTGTGGTGACTTAAAAAAAGTCTTGACACTTTTTTTTCGCATCTCAAGGATACCATTGACGAAGATGTTGAACAACAGCAAAAGACATCTTTGCAAAGATCGCCTTCTGGTGGTACAGTCGAGGAAGTCCACGAGGAAGAAAATGATGGATATAACTATGATGATGACTTTGAGGTATGTAGTGATAATTTAAGTGAAAAAACAAATTTTTTTATTTTGAAAGACATTTTTCAAAAGTGGTTCTGTTATCTTCAGTTTGACCCTTTATACCCTAAGGTCAGTCTGTGTATTCTCCATGCTGTTATCTATACATTTTCTGAATAATAATAATAATTTATAATAATTTATTACATTTAATATAGCGCTTTAACTATTAAAATATTCTAAAGTGCTGTACAATATTAAAAGCATTCTTAAGAAGAAAGATAAGTCTTCAACTTACTGTACTTTAAAAAAGTCAAAGATCATATAGTATCTAAAGCTAGATAGCTTAAATAATACTAGTAATAAGAATATAAAATTACAAATTAAAAGCTTTCTTAAAAAGATAAGTCTTCAACTATACTTTAAAAGAGTCAATGTTCTTACGGTTTCTAAGACTAGTTGGCAAGGCATTCCATACTGTTGGTCCAGCATGGAAAAAGGCTCGATTGCCAAAAGTCTTCTGTGTCACCCCAGGGATTAGCAGCAATGTTTCAGAATTGCTGAGAAGAAGAAGTTGTCTTTCATTGGTGATCTCTTTCTTTATTCTAGTGATCTTAGTGTGTGGTTCAGGTGTAGAATTGCATCATTGAATGAAGTCTCACATTTTGATTGTATAATGAAGTGAGCTATTTAGCATGGAATTGCAAGTTGAAAAGGAGGCTAAGTGATATTGTTTCACATCCACACAAGCATCACAACTATCATCAAATTGTAACAATGCAACTGCAAGAAAGTTTTTCTACAATGTCATTTTAGAATGTTTTCAAAGCCATTATCACCTTTTGAAGAGCCAAAAACAAACAAAAGCAATTTTTAAAATGAGCAGGAGGTTCTTCTTGACTTAAAAATGGCTTTCTAGAGTGCACGCTCATGATAAAAACAAACAATAGTATTGCAGTTTTCTCTTTTTCTTATTTTTACTCTCTTATGTGGTTCAAAGAAAAATACATTACCTGACTTGGGAATTTTGTGTTAAATTGCACTTGAAAACTGACATCGCACGAATTGCTTATATTGTGAGGAGAAACTAGGTTTTGGTCACTATAAAGAGTTGAAGGGTCAAATTGAGGAGTGCAAAATTGAATGTACATGTATGATGTTACACAGATTGCTGTGTAATATTTAGATCTGCTGCACTCACTCCTTGAAGGAATTTTGTATTAATCAAGTTAGAGTAAGAAAGGTTCCTCTAGAGCAGATCTGTACATATAACTGTTATATGAGTGTGTTGTCAGAGTCAAGTCATATAGGTTACCTTTACAGTGTATTTTCAATGTTGCAAAGGTTCTGAAATCAAAACTGATTAAAAAGTAGATTTCTGTTCAGGAAAGCAGGCTAAGGTAATGCTGCAGAACCATTCCATGTTTGCAGAAAGAGATATTGATATGAACACCTCTTTGATGACAGTGAACTGTTTCTAACAGTCAATTTAAGAGAATAAATTTTTTATGAGGCTTTCCAAAGAATTTTGATTTTCAAAGTTTTTGTTAGTAAAAATGATCTTGACATTGGTAATCTTTGTCAAGGATTATGATGATGACTTTGAAGATGATGTGGATGATGAGGAAGACAATGAAGAAGCAAGTCTTGATGTGCAGGTACGTGATGTGAAGATTTGATTCCATGCAATAAACCACAATTAACTCTCGTGATTTGATAGCCCATTTCTAAATTACCTATAGCCTCTTTTTTATAGCTCAGTTAGTGCTCATCCTTTATTATGATTATCATTTTTCATTCACAAACAAATTAAATTCATTTTCATACAAAATGGTTGAGCACCAGGCTTTGTTTTTGAAAAAGCGTCCAAAAGTAATTCAGAAATGGCTTATTTTAACCCTCCTTCAAATAAGTACCCAAGCACCTCTCCTATCATCTAAAATCAACCCACCGTCACCCCCCCCTTGCCCCTTGATTTTGAATGAGCTTAAGGAAAGCCACACCCAAGCAAACAAGAGATTAAAGGCCCCACATGTCACTATCCTTAACGATCTCATTACTAATTCTCCTTACTGTCTGCCATAATATTCCTATGGTGCGAGTTTGGAGAATTTGTTAGGGGATCAAGTTAGGCTCGGTTCAGATGCCGATCTTTTCATGAGCCGAACCTAATTCCTTGAATTGAGTACAAGAAAAGATCGGCGCCTGAATCAATTTGGAACGGCTCACCCGTTCTTCCCGCCTGGCTTGGCCGAGAATTTCGCATATGGAATGACTTTAGAACAGGTTTGATTCAGACGCCGTACTTTTCATCTGCCGATCCTAATGCATAAATTATGATAGTGTATTTTGCAATCAGTTTGACTGGTTTTACTATAACAGCGTTTGGAACGGCAAAAAAGAACGGCGTCTGAATCAAAAGGGGCACTTTTGTTAAGTTGGTTCGGTCCAAATTCGAATTGAGTTCGGCTTATGAAAAGTTCAGCGTCTGAACCGGGCCTTGTAAACCCTAATTGATATTTTTCTTAATTCTCATCACCTGTGTGCTTAGTATGATGTTGATAATTACTGTAAGGAGAAATTCTGTCTTAGTCTCTCATGGAAGTTAAAGGGTTAAATTTGGGATCAGTGATGTTGAGCATTTTGTATCCTGAAAAAAAATTATGAAAACCACCAATAGTTTACTTAATTTGCTATAAGTAAACTCTCTGCTGTCAAATTATGCAGACCTTCTAAGGTTTGTAATAATGTTTTCGTGCCGCTTTGTGGCACTCTAATACGATAAAATTCATCTGAGAGGCGGAAACACAGGTAGGTGAGAACTTTTTTTAATTCAACTGCCATTAGATTTCAAAATTGTCACATAACTCTCACCTCCTGAATTGGATATATGTTTATCCTTTCGGAAGAGACGTCGACGAAGCAGATTTTTGAACAAACACTGAGTATAATTACGTTTTGTCAAACTACAAAGGAAAGAAAATATATACGTTACAATATTTTACAGATACAACTAACTACAGGAATAGCAAAAGTTACAAGAAAATCACTAAAACTACTTACAGTTCTGGTTGCCTTCTCTTCTGACTTCTTGAAGCGAGCCACGTATCTATTTATACTTTTACGAAAGCATGCGTGTCACGTAATACGCGTATCTTTTAACACTTACTATTGACCCTTTTTCAATGTCCCAACTTTTACGTCAAAGTATGTAAAATATGTGCATTATGCAAAACACCTCCCTATTACCCGCAGTGGCGCGTGTTTAGGGCAAAGTCAACAGATTACCCGCGGGTAAAGGGCCGGAAGTTACGGTAGTTTGTATTCTCACTACAAGTAAGACAGTGATTGTGTTATTTCATTTCAGGATCATGCAGGAATGCAAGAGGTAAGGAAGATTTTTCTGCATATATTTTTACAATCACTCAATATTTGTATAGGTAATNACATTGACATTGACCAATCATTCTGACCAATCAGAATGTCTGGTTTGTTTCTTTCTTTGCACTGAATTAACCCTCTTCTGCACTGAATTAACTCTCTTCTGCACTGAATTAACTGAAAACTGCATTCATCTTAACCAATCAGAACTGAGAAATTTTTTCATGTATATTATTAATAAATATATAACAGTACTTTTTGATAACATTCCTTTATGGTCATCAAGCACTTTCCAAAACAATGTTAGACAAAGTATGATTATGCACTATCTTCCTTTTCATATAATCATGAATCTCTTTATTTGTATAGACCTTTAGACTGTAAATGTGGGAGGCGTGGTGGCCTCATGATTAGTGTGCTCCACTCCGGATCGAGTGGTTCGGGTTTGAGCCCTGGCCGGGGGGACCTTGTGTTGTACTCTTGGGCAAGACGCTTAATTCTTACAGTGTCTCTCTTCACCCAGATGTTTAAATGGGTACTGGCAAATTTAATTCTGGGGGGGGGGAGAGTAGTAGTGACTAGAAGTGACACTCAATAATACCTATGGTGTACAAAATTCCTTCTCAGGACTACATGTACATTTACTCTCATCTGGATGATCAGGGTACATGTTCAGACTCTTTTTCTTCTCTTTTTTTCCATCTTTGGTTCTAACCATGTTTACCTTGTGTTGCAGCTTCTACAGGCAATACAAGCTGAGAACCAGGATGCAAGGACATCATCCAGAGAAGGAAAAGAAGAGACAAAGGTTTGTTTTTATTTTATGCGGTGGTTGGGTTTTGAATCTTGTGGGGGAGAGGTGACGGCCTTGCAGTCAGGGTGCTGAACTCTGAAGATTCAGGGTTTCGTGTCCAGTGTTCAAGCCCGCGTTACGTCTGTGTTGTGTTCTTGGGCAAGACATACTATGCTCACGGCATCTCTCTCCTTCCACGAGTATTAGTGAGTGCTGGAAAACTGTTGAGAAAGCCCAAGGAAATATTGGAGGGGTGGGCAGGTTTACCCACTACGTAGAAGTGTGCCAGCTAGTCTTAAACCTTGTTACCTCATGGCTAGCTAATGCAGCAGAAGTCCGGCTGTCGTGTCGTAAAATGTTTTAATATGTGAGTACTTAGAAAAGATAACATTCCCTTGTTTTGATTCTAGTGCAACCTTGAGGTTTTGTATGATTTATGGACGTTTACCATCCAGGACAGTGAAATATTCGTTAAAAACGAGTAAAAGAGTGTGAAATTTAAAATTCGTAGTCACAAGTGGATAAAGAGAGGAAAATTGGAAAAGTTTTCGTTGTTTTGTTATTACTCGTACCGTTATTAAACCATTCATATTTCTTTCAGGAACACTCAGTACCAGTAAATAAAGGTAAGTGCTATTTTCTAATAGAACTTTGGCAATTACAGAAAAAAAGAACTGTCAGGAAAAGTTGCTTTCATTTTAGTTGAAAATCGTAGCTCTGAACTGGTTACAATCGAATCCTACAGTTCAACTGAATTATTGGGAAGCACAACCCTAATTCGTCTAGTTGCCTTATTTGGAAAGCCCACAGTTATCTTTGATGTATATGTACGTTTTTGCCAAGTTTTTTCTAGGACCTGACCTTGTACAACGACCAGCAATTTTCCAGTGAGGTTGAACTAACCGAGCAATAAAAACACTCCGTTTATTTGTTAATTTAGAAAAGATTGTACATGGCTAGGGAGCAAAAGTAATGGAAACATCTGTCGACGTATTTCAACGCTTTCCCGGCTTTTCAAAGAAAATTTTGCCCGAACAAAATTTCCGCGACATTTCAAGGCGTTTATTGTTTGGATCCGTCCGAAGGTTCGGTTAATTATTCACTTGAGATGTTTATGGAGTCCCGAGATTTCTGTTGAAAGTTCACTCCCGAAAATTTGCTGTAATTTTTTAAAGAAAATTTGCGGCGACCGCTGTTTTCATCTTTGATTCTTGTCGGCTTTCATATCCTGAAGCCTCATCTAACCATGGCATAATTGATACTGATAAACGAAAATATAGCTTTAAAAGTGCTCTTGCTTCATAAATACTCACAGAAAAAGTCCGTGGCACTACTGCCAGCCGTGGAAGGATAAACTTTGTTGCTGCCAAACAGAAACAAATCACTGATCAAGTTGCCTCACGGACAAGAAGAAGAGGACAGGTAAGAGAAACTGCTCTAAGTTTTTGTGTTTATACTCCGATCTTAGAAAAACGGCATTTATCAACAGTACTGTTAAACAATGTTTCTTGTGGATCTCAATTGTTAACTATCATCAATGTAAATAAGATACTGTATACCTGTATGGCATTACATATGATCTGCTGGACATGATAATTTTAGTCATATTGCCTGATGCACATTGCAAACCTTTCTTAACTGGAATTAGTACGTGTAATCAAATGGCGACGAGTGAAATTAGGAAATGATTTCACGCGCGTTTTGTCAAAATTCTGATAATTTCCCTCGCCTTAAAACGCAAGTGAAATTATTTCCATAATTTCACGAGAAAACCATTTGATTACCTTTTAATATAGTGGGTGACAAATTACGTTCACAACCGTAATTGTTTTTACCGGTTTATTCTATCGAAAACCGAGAACATGAAGAAGAATATAGTTTTCGTTTAAGCATACATTATTGTTAAAGTTCGTAATTTTCTTAGTTTCTTCACAAAAAATACCTTTCGAATTCTTCGTCCCTGTTAATAATTTTCGGCCGCTTCTTTTAATTTCGTAACTTCTTCAAGGGTCACCGTCTTAAATCTCGACGCCATCTTGGCTCTGATCGAGATACAAGAGATGTTACCATGGCAATTTTGTAATTTCACAAGTGAAATGAAAAATTAACGCCGAAATTTCGCGCCAAAATTAAGGAGTAATTTGTCACCTATGATATTATTAGACAATAATTGTAGTCATTTTGCCTGATGCACATTGCAAACCTTCCAGTTTAACTGGAATTATGAGACATTAGACTTACTCATTATGATTAAGGATGATTTTTCAAGTTGCGCAAACTGTAACATTTTTGTTTTGGCCTTACCAGGAGTTGATGCACTTGATCGATCTCGATGTTGCCGTTTTTGATATTTTTGAGTTGCCGCCTCTGAACGAGTATGAGCTGTACATTAAAAACTTTGGAAGATCTGACACTAAACAGGTAAAGATATGAATTGTTACACATTGTTGTAACCTTTTATTGGTTTTGAAACAAAAAAATGTTTAGTTATCTTAGCTGCACTACAATACCGTTCACGTGTAATGCAGCACCCCACGCGTGTTAGGGGCGTGTAATATACACACGCGCGTTACACGCACCTTTGTCTTAGTACATACATTTTATGAGTTCTAGTCGACTGATTTACACGAATGTGCATGTAGTGACGTGCAGTGCGAGTGTTTAGCGGTTGCAGTGCGTGGGAATTGCACGTGCGTAATGCTGCGGTACACGCGAGCAGCACTGTAAGTATTCCAGTTGTGTTTCGTAGGCGTATGTCCAGTGCAATGAAGATAATGTTGAAAAAGAGGTACAAACTGAGGAAATCGAGACAAGAACAAAGTGGACACAAAATCCAGCAAGCGATGCTGCTGGGTTTGGAGGTAAGTCAGGTCTTATATCGGCTGTGAATAGAGAGAACAGATGAGGATGCAGTGGCGGATCCAGGGGGGGAGGGTCCGGGGGGTCCGGACTCCCCCTATCAGACCTGACGCTTGCAACTTTGAGACTGAAATTCTTACATCCGCAGGATCGTATGTCACTTTTAACTGGCTGCTTTTTTCAATTAATTAATCCAACTAAACGGTAAGCGGCCAAGGAATTATAACGTGCAACCACGACTGGTGGGAGGGGGTGTGGGGGGTGTTGGGGAGAAGTAATTTGCCTCAAAAGAGTCCAACAGTCCTTTCTGAACCAAAGTTTGGACCCCCCTATCAAAAATTCCTGGATCCGCCCCTGGGATGTGTGTTTGAATGTTTGATCTTTTACACCCTAACATCATCATACTGTTCTTGGTACATTTCCTATAGTGCTTACAAGAAGAATTTTTTTAACGGTCAATAACGTTTTGAGTTTGAGACCATCTCCTTTATCCTCATGTTAATATTTGATTCTGGAGTGATGTTGTTTGGGTTAAAGAGTTAAGTGACAGTGGAAACTAGGGGGATAGATCAAACACCTGTTTTGCTAATAATACACTGTAGGTTCGAAATGGTTACAAACACCAAGAAGCCAATTTTACTCTTGTGATGGGGACAGAGACTTAATGATCACAGGGAAACAAAATTAGCATGTGATCCACCATGGTGATATAATAGATTTGTTGACTTGCAGTTGCAGTGTCTAGTGTTGAATGTTGCTGGTCGCACACAATTATCCGTTGCCCGACACACACCTTACCGGTAGCCCCCCACACCACCCCTCCCCTCTCCTCCCGTACGAGAAATCCCAACCGATGAAATGAAAATGTTTTTCCTCATTATGTTCTGCTTGTTCTTTGATTTCAGACGAGGAAGACGATCAAGGGGAAGATTTATCCACCTTAGCAGAAAAAGCTAACATAGACAGCTTAAGATTATCAAAATTTCTTCAACGGGCTGCGCAGGTTAACTCATGTTTCTTTTAAATTTTCTCTTGTAAGCGACAAGAAAAACAGACTGGTGGTTGGGAATTTAAATTTATATTCATCTTTGATGATGCAGCTTAATTCCTTCACGTTAATAAGGAGTAACCAAAGAAGACTCTCCCCACGCAGTATTAATTCCTTCTCAAGAAAATCGGTGGAGTGGAAAAAGGAAAAATATCAAGTGGGGATATCGTTTGATTAACACTGAATTCTGGAAGCTAAATTTGTTAGAAATCTATGGGAGAACTGATATTTGGATCTTGGCAATGAAAGGGTTGGATGGTTATAGTGGCGATGACAGCTAAGAATTCAGCAAAACGTAGCGTAAAGAAGAAAGTGGCTGTCCGCTCGCTTACAAAGCTTTCAGAAGCAATTGAATCACAGTACTTAGGTATAAATGGATTGAGCACAGAGATCAGCCACTGTTATTTTCGGCGCACCTTTAAACGACGACATACAACGAATGTAACAACTATAATTACAATAACAAAATGGAAGAACGTTGAGCAGAAATTGAAAAACTGAAATTTTTTCACAATCCACCTCCTGAAATTTATTGTAATAGAACTGAGGAACAGAGGTAATAAGATATTATCCGGTATAACTTCTTGTTGATTTGGAGCAACACTCATTGTAAGGGTGCTAGTCATTTCAAGGATATCTTTTATGTTATCTTACAGACTTGTTTGATTCTACTGGAAGAGAACAGTAGTGGGCAGACAAATACTCAGTTAAAAGACAAGAAAGACATGACGTGTAGCGACGGATTCATTCAACTAGCTACCAAGCACTCCTATCTTGAAGGTTTGTACATTGTCAGAATTAGCGTGTTAAGTTTTTCTCCCTTTCCATGAATGTCTTGTGGGTTTTTAGTGACTGTTACTGACGTTTTGACTAACTGTGCAAGTCATGCGCAGTATATGCGCCCAGAGGGAATGAACACTGTTGAGCAGTAAATAATTTATCTTCACAAGTATAAAGATATTTACAATGATGAAATCAGTAAGAGAGCGCGCTGAGATCATCACAAACTCAATCGACCGCTGACCTCTTAACTCTAACTGCACAACGTAACATTACCATTGCACGAAGTTGAGAGTGATCTTCGCCGAAATGAAACCTACGTTAGCAGTCGTGAAAATAAAGACTGAAAAAAAATCCAGGCGTGTTTGGGAGTGGAACCCGTCGCCCCTGCGATACCGGTGCAGTGCTCTTCCAACTGAACTAACAAGCCAACTGGGAACTGGTTACAGAGAAGCAGGTTTTACTGAAAACATCCATAAAAAAAACTAAATTGAAATGCGTTTGTTGTTTACGTAATAGGACGACAGGTGAAATGTGTCCACATATCTCCAGTTCAAACATACTTCTTGCTCACTGCTTATGGTGCTGTGAAAGAGCAGGGAAAGACTGCTTCAAAGGTGAGTTATGTACCGTATAGCTTGGAAAAGTTCATACTTTATAACTGGAATGGAAAAAAAAAAACACAATAAAATGCGTAGGGGGGAGTGGTTGACGAAAATACCAGATATACTTTCTAAAAAGTGTTGAAGAACTTGTCATATGAAAGGGGACAACTGTTTACTTCATGAAGGAACTAGAAGATAACAAGCAAACGAGAGGTGATACGTTAATCAACACGCAATAAGCCCACCCGGGGTTTATGTAAAAGTATGATATAAAGTCATAGTTTTATTAACAGCCTTATCTCTTTTTTTTTTCTTTCCGCCATTTTTGCTTTTGGCTAAGACAAACTTCACGAAACGTCAAACTTTATACACGCTTTTATGCAAGATAAATTCAAGCCAAGTTTATTTTTAATGCTGGAGTGGCGTTCATATCCATCTTTAAATCCGATGGAATTTACAATGGACATCCCTTTTACTCCAGTGACGGTTCTCAACGGTCGTCCAACATTTTTACTGAAAAGTCAGTCTACGCGTCAGATAAGTTACAATTGTACTAAGCAAATTATGAACATCTTTTGATGTAGGCTCACCGCAGTATTCAGGAAAAAGGCATTGTTTGTTTTTGGAACACTAATGAACTCTCCGAGCCTCAAAAGTAAGTTTTCCTTTAGTTACTGAGAGTGGTAACTCGTGATCGGTCGTTTTTGGGTCATTTTAGTTGCTTATTTAGGTTTACGAAGGTTCCTAAGTTTACATTAGTGTAATTTGAAAGCCTAGCAAAGAGTTTCCCGCAATCTGATTGGTCGAGCGGTTCCTTATATGACGCTATATAAACCGCTTTATGTAATGATTTTAGAAATTTCTCTGTTGTTCAGCTCTGAATTTATACTAAAACAATTATTCGCCTCAGGTT